GGTCGGAGCCCGAGCTGAATCGGGATGTTTTCGGATCACCTTGGTAATCAATAATAAACAACAATAATAGTAACAGCACCAGATCCACCGGCAACCAATTCAAAAGGCGCATTCGCGTGCTGGGAGCCGTGAGACTCAAGGGAAGGAGCCAAGCGTAGTCTCAGCCCGGGTTCCAGTCCAGACCGCTCTGCTCCGTAACCTCGGGCCTTTCCTTTCGGAATCCGCTTCCTGGGCTTAGAAATGGGAAACATAGTAACAGAGCTCTCGAGAGGAATGAAGAACTCGAGGGCTCAGTGGAGGGCAACTTGGGGAAAGGCGTGTAATGTAATTCTCACCTCTACCCCGTGAGGGAGCTATTACTCAATTCCCTTTAAAGCTGGGGCTCGACTGGGGACCTTTCCCGGCCACCCCCGCCCTCCCCCCGGCTTCTATAGGTCTCTCTCTCCCAGCACAGCCCAGAGGCCAGGGCAGGAGCTCGGCTCTCCGCCTCGCCATCCGGCAGCTTCAGCCTCTGCACTTGCTTTTCACCTTCAGACCCTCTGGCTCCTCTGGACACTGTCCTTCCATCCCCAGGTACAGGTTCAGGCGAGCAAACTCTGGCTATTTCCACCACACACTCCACACACACACACACACACACACCACACACACACTCACTGACATACAAACACCACACACTCACTCACACACACACACCACACTCACACACCACACACACACTCCACACACACACACACTCACACACACCATACACACACTCACACCCCACACTCACACACACACCACACTCACACTCACACACATACTCCACACACACACACACACACACACACACACACTCACACACAAAGAAAAAACAAAACTGAAGCTATGCCCCCTCTTCTTGCCTACTTACCTCTTCCAATACTGAATACTCCATCCACTCAGCTCCTCCAGCAAACCTTTCCTGGGCTCTCTCCCCAGGTCACAGCCTTTGCACATGCTGTTCCCTCTCCCTGGAACACCCTTCCCCCCAGCTCTAAAGCCTGTTACTTTGGGTGCAGCTCAAATATCACCGCTTCCAGGAAGTCCCCCTCCCCTGTGTTCCTGCAGTCTTCATGCTTTCTTCGTGCTTCATCCACCTCCATTACATAGTGATGTCCCTGAGAGCAGGAACCACACCTATTGAGGGCTCCATGGTATCGTAGGGCTCAGTGACTGGAACAAAGTGAACACGTGTCTGATGAATGAGTGATTCAACCCAGCTGGGTCTGTTCACTGAGCGTTTGCAACAGCCCTCGGCTCAGAGGCCCCTGCACAGTCACAGGAACAGGCACCGCCACACACAGTCACATACTCGAACCGAGTCATAAACACTCATGTGCAAGAGGCACACATGCAAGCACAGTCATCGGTGCTCATTTCCGTTTCTCTGTGTCTGGGTACCTGTGTGTCCGAGGAATATATTCACTCTCTTCTTTTGTGACTTGGGGTCACTGAGAACAAGTGTAGTGGCTCCTTTAGCAGCCTGGTGGCCATGGAAGAGGATGAACTGTCCCAGCAGACTGGGGGTCCCAGGGGAAGTGTCTTCCCCACCAGCTTGGGAGCTCCTGGATTAGGCTGTCACCCATCAGACTTGGAGCCCTTGGGGCAGAGCCACAACTCCCCCACTAACTAGTCTTGGGGCCCTGAGGACAGAATGGGTCTGATTATGCTGGGTACTTGGGGGTCAGAGTGGAGCTGATCTCCCCCATTAGACTGGCCATTCTCACAGGCATGGCTGTGCCTTCCTGACCCCTTCCCCCCTGCCACCTGCCCACCAGCTAGGCCCCCTCCCATCACAGTACAGAGATTAGGGCTGGGCTGGGCTGCCAGGGCTTCTGAAGCAGCAGCAAACCTAATAGCAAACCACACTGCGAGAGGCTGGTCCTGCGGACCCCCAGGAGGGTATGACGGGACCCAGCTCAGTAAGTCCTGGCACCTCTTCCTTATGTCTCTGATTCACTCACCAAGCCTGTCTGAGTCCCTGGGAACGGCCCTGCAACACTCTGCCTCTATATGTTGTTTCATTCTCTCACCAATCCAATCTTGGGAGGTAAGCATGATCATCACCCCGTTTATAGATGAGGCAACTGAGGTTTGTTCAGAGAAAAGCAGTAACTTGCCCTAAGTCACAGAGCTGGGAAGTAGCAGAGCTGGACTGCCCACTGCACAGGCTGCCTCCCACCCAGGCTTGAGGAAACTGGGGAGATAGATTCGTCAGGTTGCAGTAGCTGGTCATGGGTGTGTGTGTATGTGTGTGTGTGTGCGCGCCTGCCTCACACGTCCAGGTTTCTGGCTCAGGCCATATGGTACTGGCTATGGAGACAAGGATTGCCAGAGGGTGGGAGTGCCTGTTAGTAAGGTTGGGAACAGTAAAAGGAGCAGGTTCAACAGGCAGCCAGCCAGGGCAGGCAGAAGGTGAGCCTGAAACCCAGCCTTCCCCATTCACAGCATCACACACACACACACACACACACACACACACACACACACACACTCACTCTGCTCCTGACACTGCAGCTGTGGGTTCAAGTTCCATTCACCATCTAACCCCTCTCAGAGCCTCACTTTCCCCATCTGAGAAACAAGAGCAGAGACCTGGCGGGTCAGCCCTTGGGATTCCTGCTCCTTTAAGCCTTTCCCAGTGGAGGGTGAGGCCAGGCTGCAGGTGAGTGAGTTGCCACATCAGCAGGGTGAGCCCTGCCCCATCCCCTCCCCCAGCTCCAGAGGGAGGTCCCAGAGGCCCCAGAGGATGGTGGGAAGTGGGTGGGGAGAAAGAGTTGAGCCTAATAGGCTGGAGAGCTGGGGATGCCTGCAGGGCTGGGTGAGGGAGGCTGGGTGAGGGAGACTGTGTGTGAGTGTGTCTGAACGACCAACTGAATGTTCCAGAGAATACAGGACTGTGTGCAAAATGAGTGTGTGTCTTTGACAGTGAGTACTCAAGTGTGCAAGCTTGTGTGCAAGCTTGTGTGAATGTGTCTGAGCACGTCTTTGTGTGTGCCTCTGTGTCTGCAGATGTCCTGGGTGTGCAGGAGTGAGTATGGTTGTGTTCCTGTTGAGTGCACAAGTGTGTGTCTTTGTGTTTGCTCCTTTGTGTGGATGTTGTAAACAGGCGCGTGTGTGAGTGTGTGCCTTTGTGTAGCTATAGTTGGGTGCAATAATGCCTGTGACTGTCTCTCAGTGTGTCTTTGTGTGTGCGTGACTATGTGAGTGTCCCTGAGTGTAAGGAGTATGTGAATGTGTGTGTCCAAAGTGCCTTTGTGTGACCGCATGGACACGTGTGTGTGTGACTCTGTGTGTCGCTAGCAGAGTCCTCTCAGAATAGGCCTGAGCCTTTGTGAGGCTGCATCCATGGGGCAGCTCCTCCAACTGACCCCTGGCTGATGGAGGTACAGAGCCTGCCCAGCCCTGTGCCCCCTGGTGACTCGCCTCCTGCCATCGCCCCTCCACCAGCCTCCCACCTTAAAGGGCAGTCTCTCTCTTGCCCAGTTTTCCCTCTTCCCACCCAAAGGGAGTCTCAGTTCCTTCCTCTTGGCAGCCTTCTATGACCAGAGAAGGTGGGCCTGACATTAGCTACACCCCTATTACACCCTCACTTGATAAATGAAAACAGAGGCTCAAAGCCCCGAAGCACCCTGCTGCAGGTCACCTGGTGGGCGTGTGTTTGATCACATGACTCCTAGAGCTCAGCACTGGACCTCTGGCCTCCTCCAGCCCCTTTAATGGCCCTAGGTTAGGGCTCTGGACCTGGGAAGCAGGAAGGAAACGGACATTGGAGGAACCCCCAGCCACTTGCTTGGTCCTTCCCTTGTTGTCGTTTCATTCGCTCCATCTTGCTCAGAGAGGTGAGGCAGCTTGTCCAGTGTCGCACAGTCGGAAAGTAGCCAAGTCAGAATGTGAATCCAGATCTCATGCTACTAGGGGCAGGGATGGGGGTGGGGTCAGCCCAGAGCCGACTGGCCGCTGGTCCTCAAGAGAAAGGCGGAGGGATGCGGAGACATGGGTAGAAATGAGAAAAAGTGGCTTGTGACAGTTCTCGTGCGACACCACAGCCAGAGCCGAGGTGACACAGTCTCATGTGAGGCCCGACATCCGGGCAGGACTTCCTGTTCTAACCGGAGTCCAGCTCCCGGCTCCCTGCCCTGGGCCCCCTCCCTTGTGCGGAGGCGCTGGGATGAGGGACAATGTGACTAATTGGGCCCAGGCTTGAACAACCTGTTCACTGACTGGTCACAAGTATTTGAAATTCCACTATTCACTGCCCCCTCAAGGCTCTTCTTTTAGATCAGAACCCAGGCTCCAGGGAGGTGTCTAGAGTCCCAGCCCAGCCTGGGGGGTCTGGTTAGAGCGAGGGTCCCAGACTAATGGCAGTTCTGGGTGCCCGTCTGGAATAGAGATGAAAGCCATGAAAATGGGGCGAGAGGCCAGAGGGAGTGTGAAGGGTTAACCTCTGGGGGAGGCGGTCTCATTTCATTCTCCCAACAGCCTCTGGGGCAACAGGCTTTCCTCCCCAATGTCTGATGAGGAAACTGAGGCCCTGAAAGGCAGATACACTGCAAACGCAGGATTTAAATCTCCTCTCTGGACTTCGGTCCAGGGCTCCTGCTGCCCTCTGTGGCTCCCTCTGGATCCCAGGCTGGGCTTCTGCTGGGAAGAGGCCAGACAGGCAGGGATGTGAGAAGGAGGGTTTGTTTGGCTATTTTGGGTGCCAAGGACCAGAGAAATGCTCACCTGAGTGTCTTAGGCGTTGTCGTGAGACTCGTGGGGAAGTAAGGAATGCAGGGAGCCTGTCCCTTATCTCCAAGCCCCATGGCATTTCCACGGATGTTCAGGAAGCAGAGCAGCTCCACTCACGTGGATGTCTCATTTTTGCCACAGCGATGCAGGTGCCTGATGCTTCCAAGTCTGGTGCTTAGTGGTCCAGAGGCTCGGCCAAGCTGGGCCTTCACTTCTGTTCCCCCTGCATGACCTGCCTGCCTAGCGTCCTTGCTGTGCTTGGCTCCTGTGGCCTCTTGCTCTGGCTCACAGCTTTCCCTGGGTCGCTGCCTTACTCCCTGAGAGAGGATCTACTTGGTTTAGTAAATCTGATCGTGGAGGGCAGTTTCCAACCGGACTACTTCATGGGCCTCTGGCCAACTGAGTGAGGGCCAGGCCCACCTCTGGTCCTGTTAGTGGCAGAGCAATTGGGTCACTTGGTTCAGAGTGTGGTGACTTAAGAAACCAGCAGAGCCAAGCCAGTGTGGCTCAGGGGTTGGGCGTCGACCTGTGAACCAGGAGGTCATGGTTCCATTCCTGGTCGGGGCACATGCCATGTCTGGGTTGCAGGCTCGATCCCCAGTAGGATCTCAGCATTGATATTTCAAACTCTCTCTCCCTCTCCCTTCTTCTCTGAAATCAATAAAAATATATTTTAAAAAAAGAAACCAGCAGAGAGGACTGTAGGCAAGACAGGCACTTAGAATATAAATAGCTCCCTGGAATCCAGACTCTGATTTTAGCTGCTTCCATGAAGTTGGGGACAGTGTCTTTTCATCTCTCCGCCCCTGTGCCCAACACGGGGCTGCAGGATTGAACTGCAATGACTGTGTTGATGGACAATTGAGTGAAGTCAGCCAAGGAGCCTTGGGGCCCTGGTAAAGGCTATGGCTGTGCAATGGGACCAATGATTCCTGTGTCCTTGCCCAAGGCGCTCTGGGATCACCATCACCTGGAACCTCCCTGCTTCTAGGACTGTGGGCATGGGTCTTCCTCGCATGGGTCTGCTTCTCTGTGTCCTGGAAATGCCTGGGACACCTCGTGGCCACCCCTGTCACTCCAGACTCAGGGCTATGAGGACACAGCCTCTCTCTGCCTGCAGGTCTGACTGTATATTCCTGACCCTGGAACTCACAGCCTCTCTGCTCCCTTGCTCCCTTGCTGCCTGAGTGTCCTGTTTCCGGCCTCCATGGGTGGCCCTGCCTGACCCTGTCCTGGCCTGAGGGGTGGGGTGGGGGGATGGGAGGGGTGTGCACAGTGCAGCTCTTGTTCAGGGGATCAGGGTGGGACCAATGCCTGCACTTGTGTTTCAGCCCCTGGCTTGAGTCTTGGCAGGCCAGAGGGGGAGCTGCCTCTCTGCCCGCGACATCATCTCAACATCCGTCCCGCTGGCAGGGCCGGCCCAGAGCCACCGTGGAAGCTGACCAAGAAGG